CTAAGCTTGGTGTACAACTTCTCGAGTCTGCGTCGCATCTGCAAGTCTGTAATTTACATCTACACCAACGCTCAGTCTTCGAGTTGCCGGACTGTATCACTTCAGGAGAACATCAGTCTTGATGTGATAACATAGTAGCGGCACTCAGGAGGGCGACTATATTTGTTCTTCTATGGCAACTTTTTCACACTTGCACAGAATATGCAACTGATAATCCTCTTCATCATCCTTATAAGCGAATTATGTCTATGATATGCACCCTTGTAAGAGCCCTGATGCCATACCGACTGCGTTACAGCGTGAATGAATACTAGTCGTATACTATTAATAATATTGGACTCTTTATGCCTTTTCCTCCGCAGCTCCGACGCGTTCCTGATGGGCAGATCTTTCAGAACACACATTTCCCCAAACTCGTCAGTGTAGAGAAGACGATAAGTAACACCTCCCAGTTGCTCGGGCCAAACCTCCTCGATATACCTCCCCAACGCTCCAGAAGCTGAAAAGCGAGTTCCACGCGCACACCAAACACTTCGTCTCCTAAATGGAATTTCACACACAATTCACTTGACATATTGAGAACGAAGGAGAGTTTTTTTGATTAATGAAAATCAGATTGAAAAGCAGCTACTCCACATCAAACGATCTACATGCAGGGTTAGCATGTAATTCGATTGTTCCGGCACTGAATGTTCGAATCTTTCGCCGAACTTTTACAGCCCAACACAAAGCTGAAGATTACACACTATCAAGCTGCGCAATCGCTGTCGCTGGCTTCGCGGGAGTTCTAGCGAATGAAGGGATGTTGTTTCTGATGGGAATTGTTCTATCAGTAGCTCATTTTAGCTGTAGTGGCCTTTTGAGGGCGATAGAGTTTTTTGGGGGGCGAGATGTTATCGTTGATTTGAGAGTTTAGAGGATTATCATCTGTGGATCTGCTGGGTCATGTTTATGTTGGTGATTAGATTATTTGTTTTTGAATTATGTCAAGTCAAATCTGTTTGAAGCTTCACTTAGACTCGGAAATTCTCCGTGTGAGAGCTCCTGTGGACAAATGCCAGAAGGTTGACGACATTTGCAACTATGTTGAAATGGCATGGCCCGCCCTAAGCGAGGTTTCCTATCGTCTCTACTATATCGATGACATGGACGACGCTTGTATTCTATCCCAGATTTCCTTACCGGATGCTCTGGCGTTGGCTGAGGAGTCGAGAGTGCCTACTATGAACATCTTCGTTGATATAGACGACGAGGAAGATGTGGTTGTGGTGGACGACCCATTGTCTCGTATGGTTGACGAGCTCATCGACGGTGATTTGATACCAAGTTATGGTGTTGGTCAAGAGTTGGTGAGAGTTCTCCAAGATGCTGGTCAGGATTTGGACAAGGTCACTCAGGAGCTTGCGAAGTCCCGATCCAAGAAATCAGGTTCTAGGACTACTACCAAGAAGAATGCACCTAAAAGCCCGTCTGTCGCCGCCAAGCCGAAGCTACAGCCTCAATCTTCTTTGAAGATAGAAAGGGAGGTTTCTGATGAGAATGAAGCCATGGACACAATGGTGGATCTGCTTAGCGATCTCGGCTTTGTTGACAGCAAAAAGGCGGCTCGTGATTTGATGGATAAGTTGGTTTCGTCTACTGATGACTTGAACAAAGTTGCCGATAACATCAAGAGACGTGTTGAAGAACAGCAACGCGAAGATGCCTATTCCAAGGCTGATGAGTGTGTTATGGCTGACAAGAAGCCGGGAGAGCATCTTGCTCAGCTTCTCAACGACTATGGTTTCGTTGTCGATGAAGATAGTGCCAACAAGCTTGTTGCTGCTCTGGAAGCTACTGATCAGGACTTGAATAGAATTCTCTTCC